TACATTGACATATTCTGAGATATTGCCTAGCCATATAAGTTAGTTATATTATTATTTATTCTTATATCTTGCCCGAAGCCGGGTCATCAGAAATGTTGATTAATTGATAGGCCGACCACCGCTGTTGACGCGACCACCGCTGTTGACGCGACCACAAGAGATGATCAGCAGTGACAAAAAGATCGCAAAAAATGGTTACAGATGTTACTACAATCGCAGGAGAGAATTAGAACAGAACTAGTAAAAAATGTGTATAAACATGAGCAAATTTAAATCTTGGCTTAGCTCTAGTTTAGTCAATTATAGCTACATTGTACATTACACATATATTCAACATATATATTCAATGAGTATAGGGACTAGTTTTAGTATGAGGACACTTTGGTTACTCTTCTTCTATAAACACATCTAGAGCCAAGTCAAAGAAAGGACTTGTGACAAAAACAAAAAACATATTATAATATTAAATCTTTTTCAAGTATTGTAGTTTGTAATTGTAAATTAAATAAACTTATTACTACCAGAATTTCCAGCCAATCAGGATACTAAGAAAGTATCTAGATTCTGGTAGTAATAAGTTTATTTAATTTACAATTACAAACTACAATTCAGTAGTACAGTAGTAGTTTTCTTAACTGGGAAAATTTTTGAATTTGGAAGACTGAACAAAAGCCAGTGAATTGTTACTAGGCAAATGTTGAATAGGACCAGGAAATTTGATTTTTGGAAGAATCACCAGCAACCGAGTGACCACTCAGTGGGGGCATGGCCGCCACTGGATAAGGCAGAAGAATCACCAGCAACCGAGTGACCACTCAGTGGGGGCATGGCCGCCACTGGATAAGGCAGAAGAATCACCAGCAACCGAGTGACCACTCAGTGGGGGCATGGCCGCCACTGGATAAGGCAGAAGATTCACCAGCAACCTGTGACCACTCAGTGGGGGCATGGCCGCCACTGGATAAGGCAGAAGAATCACCAGCAACCGAGTGACCACTCAGTGGGGGCATGGCCGCCACTGGATAAGGCAGAAGAATCACCAGCAACCGAGTGACCACTCAGTGGGGGCATGGCCGCCACTGGATAAGGCAGAAGGATAAAGGCTAGCCAAGGCTTTTAATTATTGATTTGCTCAAATCAATCAACTAAGGTATCAAACTGTTCCATACTGACTCTCTTTTGGAACGTATTGCTCTGATTTATTTTGTTTTAGCTTGGATGAAAATAGAAGTATGTAAGGGTTGTTTTTTTTTACACCTCACTTTTTTTAAGAATATCACGATGGAAGTCGGAAGAAAATGTTTTTAGTTGAGGGTCGTCAAAAGTAGTACGAAATACCAAAGGGTTTTGAGGTTAAACACGGTGAGGTAAGGCTCAAGCAGTTAGCGCGAGCGCCGATGGAGCCGCCGCCGAGGCCGAGTCAGACTGCCAAAACTGGTTTCTGCGCATAACCGGCCCAGACGTGCAACAAAACCACTGGGACCGGGCGCCGCCGGACAGTCTGTGCCAGTTTGTGACCCGATCAACCCGTCTCTCTCTAAGGTATAGTGCCTACTTGACATCAGTTTATGATTCAGGGAAATTAGATTGTTTTACGTTTGGATATTTACGATCGATGTTGAACAATTGATTTACGATAATTTGTTCCAGATAAACGAAGTTTACGATTTTGATCAGTGATCAATTAGTATTTTTGCAATTTAATTTAGATTTTAAATTGGGAAATAATTAGTTTGACGTTAAAGAAATTTTGCCGACTAGCTATATACAATCCAGACGAATTAGCATACATTAGGCTATTGAGGAAAGCAAAAGCTTAGTAAGGCCAATTGAGTATTTTAAAGGATTATTACCTACACATCTTATATTACATAACCTCTGTGTCACCTTCCAATATCCCTCCTTTTGCTGAAGTGCAAGCAGCATCCTTTGGGCGGAATACGCTACTCAATTACCTGACCCTCTTGTATCGCAGTTAAGGAGTGATTTAATAGGTTGAGCCTTAGCCTAGTTGTTATTGAAGAACTATATAATTTGAGGGTGACAATAGCCTAAGCTTGTGTAATATAACGTCATATAAACTCAATGTTGCCTTCCAAACACCTCTCCTTTTGCTGAAGCATAAGCACTAAGCAGCATCCTTTGGGCAGTGTACGCCATTCTATAGCCTACTGCCCTATCTTGTATGCTCAACGAATTTCTGGTATTTAATTAAAACGTAGAGAGAGTTACGAGACACAATTAACAAGGTATTTACGATTTAATAACGACATAACCTATTCACCACGCGCAACAGTGTTTTGTTATTGTTATTATTTTGCGTCTGATCCGAACTATCGATCGTATTGATATCGATAGCTACCGAAGTTAACACCGAATCTACTACCGGAACAATAGGTTATAGTTAGCCGTTGATTATAGTTGCTAGTGATTGGATCATCGACATTGACTAGCGATATAGCATTTGATTTTGCTCAGTTTTGCTTTTGTATTCACTACACATCTGAATAGCCGATAGCTACAATAGCCTAACAACTGATTGGTTAATAACATATTTATTTCGTATAATAATAATACTTATTATTACTATCCAACTTGATTTACTTGAACGATTGCACAAATATAAAGAACTGGTTTATAAATAGCCTAGGATAGCTGTTTTAGTGCTCGCATAGCTACGTTAGCCTGTTGATTAATTGGGATCTTTAAAGGATAGTGGGGGGTCTTAGTTATCCAAATTAACCTACCGTAACCTATCCTAGATTGCTGAAGTATATTCAGCATCCTAGTTAGCTGTGCAGGCTATCTACCCTTAACCTTTTTGTTGTTTAGAGCGCATTTGCGTGGGTTTAGGGTAGCGACCGAGGTTTATACGGGCGTTTAGGTAACGATTAACCTACCGTAACCTATCCTAGATGGCTGAAGTATATTCAGCATCCTAGTTAGCTGTACAGGCTATCTACCCTTAACCTTTTTGTTGTTTAGAGCGCATTTGCGTGGGTTTAGGGTAGCGACTGAGGTTTATACGGGCGTTTAGGTAACGATTAACCTACCGTAACCTATCCTAGATTGCTGAAGTATATTCAGCATATTTAGTTATCTGTGCAGGCTATCTACCCTTAACCTTTTTGTTGTTTAGAGCGCATTTGCGTGGGTTTAGGGTAGCGACCGAGGTTTATACGGGCGTTTAGGTAACGATTAACCTACCGTAACCTATCCTAGATTGCTGAAGTATATTCAGCATCCTAGTTAGCTGTACAGGCTATCTACCCTTGACCTTTTTGTTGTTTAGAGCGCATTTGCGTGGGTTTAGGGTAGCGACCGAGGTTTATACGGGCGTTTAGGTAACGATTAACCTACCGTAACCTATCCTAGATTGCCGAAGTATATTCAGCATCCTAGTTAGCTGTACAGGCTATCTATCCTTAACCTTTTTGTTGTTTAGAGCGCATGTGCGTGGGGTTAGGGTAATGATCGGAGCGTAGCAAGGTTTAGTTTGATCCTATAACCTTTGATACCGATCCTAGTTTGCTCGAAGAACATTCAGCATCCTAACTAGCTGTACAAGCTATCGAACCTAATTCTTGAAATAGACTCTAACGCGGGAATTGAATGAACAGATAACACGACACATAGATTATACACGACAACGTTTTCTTCCGCGTCTGGTAGGGTAACGATGATGAGTGAATAGCGACAACTGTTTCGCACATTTCACTGAGTTACCCTATCATTTCAATAAAGGAATTTGATTAAACACAGACGATCGACACTTTATTCGAATCGAAATTAATATTGAGTGGAATTTCAGAACAACAATATTTTGTTGTTTCACATCGACCCCTGGAAATTTAAACCCAGCACGCTGAACTATTTTGGCAATAGGATAACGGAACCGACACACACACAGAAATTCCCTCACAAGTATACATACTAATCCGAGCCGCCTGAGAAACATAAGATAGAATCAAAGAGGGTAGAAATTAAAGGTATCTATTCACATGTTTAATTAGTTGCTTTTAGTGAGGCAGATTGCAGGTAGGCTAGCTTAAATTTAATTTTTGTACAGTAGAACCATTTTTTTAACAGTGGTGGGGCCCAGGGGGACCAAATCCTGGAATGACTACTAAATAATGCCAACACACTACCCACCTACAATACGATTTACAGTAGAAACCCTTATATCTGACCTCAGCATAACTGAATCCTCCGGATATCTAACTAAGTGCCCAACTGTCTACTTGCTTCCTGTCTGGGGTGATTACACCGAGTATGTTCGGATATCCGAAAGGCCGATCACTGAGTTGCCGTAATTGGGGCAGACGATCACAGCTGTTGCTGAGACCGCAAGATATGCTCACAAGTGTTGCCGCAATCACCGTGGACAAATACTGGTGTCACCATAACAGGGAATCATGCTCATGTATGTTACTGCGGTCGAATGAGGCGATTACTGGTGTAACTGAGACCGCAAGTTACACTCACAGGTGTTTCCGTCATCGCGGGAGACGATTACTGGATGGTGTCGCCAAGACCACAAGTTATGCTCCTCCCAAAATCCAACATTTGGCCATTCCGACCATGGCCCGGTATTATGTTGGATATGAGGGGTTCTACTAGACGTCTGTCTGCTATATTTAGACAGAAACAAACACCAGTCTGTCAGTTCGGGAGGTGGTGTCTTAGAACTGAAAATGGAAATACAAACAAATATGCAAGATTTTGTAAAAAAAATATGCAGTAGTTTTTAATAAGCATAGGTTGATTTTAATCAGGCCTTAATGTTCATTAAGAGTACAACCTTTACATTTACTTAACAACATTATTGCCTTATTCTCAAACATTTTTGACCTAAATGTTATTTTATCTGAAATGACCCCACTACTTTCTTTTTGGTTAAGAGAGTTTCCTCAATACTTATTACCCAATTTACAACATTTTTTTATGTAAAAATTTCTTACTACAATTATTTTAGAGAGAAATTTTAATGTAATACGTACTTCTAGTTCTTTGATGGTGTTTTCCATCTGCTTGCTATTTTCACGCAAGTCTACGACTTTTGTGAAGTATTGGTACAAGAGATGCCTCACCTCCAACGTCGTCAATTTTTCCATGTTGGTCTTCATTACAAACCCACCCTGTATGTAACAATAAAAGATTAGTTATACTTGAATGGGACAAGTTTGGTAAATCTAGTAGTGGAATTAAAGACCTACAGTAATACCTTATTCTCTATGTGGGAAATTTGCTACAAGGACTTTGATAGTTGCTTCACAACTAAAGTCTTAAAATCACTCCCAAAGGATTATTGCAACCCTTCCATGTAAAGAAGGTGGGAACAGGCATTCCAGTATATAACCAACTCCAGGACTCCCCCCAACCTTAACCGAAGATCAACCTGTCCTTGAGAACTTGCTGAATGCATAACAGGCCTAGTGCATGTATATATATATGTCTATATAATTATATGTTTTGTACATACAGTAAACTCCCAATTATCCGCGGGATTGACTGGTGTGAATACCGCAAATAGTCAAATTTTGCGGATAAGCCGCAAAATTGCCGGTAATGGTTAAACACAAAGGTCAAAGGCACTTAAAAACAACACACAAGTGCTTTAAATTATTTTACAATAAAAGGACGACCTGATTATGTCATCCATGTTATTTATTGATAACATTTAATGCATTACAAAACGATTGAGTTAAATTGAACTGCTGTAGTGATGCGAGTATAGCGGGGAAGGTGGAGGGTGAGTCAACAGTGGCAGAGAGGGCGAATGACCATGTACATGCAGATTACTTACCGGTCATGTGATTCACTCGCGCGCTAAGTAAACAAAGATCTGCAGTGCCGCTGGTTGCGCTCAAAACTGCTAAAGCCCACACCACGTACAGTGGATAGCCTACCGATATACTGTACAGTAATACTGAACTACTGAACACGTTTTGTACTGTACATTATTAAGTGTACTGTACTGTATTGGCAATGCGATTTATGATTTTTACTGCGGTTTTGTATTTAGTAACTTGATTTAAATTAAGTTGTTTTTTACCTACATGCACCGCGCTTAAACCGCCCGCTTATAATCGAGAGTTTACTGTAGTTGTAAATAAACTAGTGATACGTGGCAAAACTGCATAAGTTAGTTAGCAACACCCATTACAGCAGCAATTTTGTAAACTCTCTTTTACTTTCACTACACTTGACAAAGTCACCCAGGAGACAAAATATTGCGTGTTCTGTCTGTCTTCTGTTTGTTCCATGGCCTACCTGTGCTTCTTTAAGGTAAGCTAGTTGCTATCCTCTTTATTCTAAAATTCAAAATCCTGGTCTTTAGCCTTACCTTGAACAAAACTTTCCCAAGATATAGTTATGGCATCAGAAAGATATTGATTTCCTGAATCTTCCCAAATCTCTTGAAGGAAACTAACTCCTGTATTTAGTGTCTAAGATTTATCACTTTACATTACGCTACATAAATAACACAAACTTACAACAGTCTTTGCCAGCTTATGTTCAATCGGTTCATTTTGCATCAGACAGCTAAGAAACTCTATGCAGGAGTCAATCAGCGCAATCATTTCGTCCACTGAAATGTGGTATCGGATCTCTTCTTCCGTTGCCGTTTTGTCCTATGAATAAAACCACACAAATCCATCACACTTTAATGGTAATCTTAACCTTACTATAAGTGTCCTATATAAAATATCACCTAACTAAATTAAATCTTTAATAACAAATATGTGTGCTAGTGGTTTGAATTATTTAGCTTGATTAAATACTGCAGTATATTGAAAAATATAGTTCAACTGACAGGAAAAACTGTCTTTCTAACCCTTGTTTATATTCTAGCCTCGGTTTCGCCTCAGTCGTTTAACCTGAGCTTGGACAAAAAAGAGGTACTTCAGGCCACAATGATAAAATAAATCTTTTATCAGGTCTGGAATCTTGGTATAACCAATTCATTTAAGTAGTACTTCCTTCACCTCGCAAATGTTTTTCAAAATAAAACAAATACAAAAATGTAAGATTCTTACCTTTATACAAGCTTCAAGTTCATTTTTTTTGGTCACTAGCATATGTCGGTAACGTCGATGGTCGCAGATGTAGTTGCAGAACCCCATTGGGTCAAATTCGGACGACCCTTCAAAGTCCTCTTTAAACATCGATTTCATAGTTGAGAGTGTTGTTGCCAACGCTTTCACCCCCTGTATAGAAATAGTTGGAATTAGTTTTACAAGTGGTAATTGATCCTTCTAAAATCGTTGCTTTCCATTATTTATCCAACAAGGTCGTAGCAAATTGTAAATGTGTACAAAAGTGCACATGTCTATGGTGACGGCAGTTGCGTTTAGAAAATAAATTTAATAAGGTAAGGTTGTGGGCGTACACCTTTTAAGTTTTAATCAAATATATTTCAAAGTAGTTTAACAAGTAATGAGACCTGAATGTCAAAGAGTTACAAAAAAAGTAAAAAAACATGGGAAAATTTGGATGAACGTTGGTGTTGGTAATGCCAATAGACATAGACAAACTTTATTTGCACAAAACATTCCATACATGTCATACATAACATTTTAGAATAGATGCATTGTCAAAATTAAATCCATACATAAAATATTTAACATTTAAACTTAACTTAAAATTAAACACTTAAAATGAAAAAAACATTTTCTAAATTTAAGTTCTGTAAATATCTTTAATTGAGTAAAAAGCCTTGTCAAGAAGTAAATTGTCTATTGTCTCTTTAAATTTGGTTTTGCTTAGTGACTTATAGCATGGCGGAAGAACATTGTACAATCTCAGCCCAGCATGCGATGGAGATTTTTCATATAGGGTCAAACGGTGTCTGGGGAGTCTAAATATATTTTCATTTCGGGTTTCATACCGGTGATTAAAATGTATTGTTTCTGGTAGCTCATTTTTAACTGAATGTATGTAATTTAATAATTCTAGAATATACGACCCCGTTAATGTCTGAATTTTTTAATTTTGAAAATGTTTCTTACAAGAACTGTGTGGATAAGAGTTAGTGATAATGTGAATAATATGTTTTTGTAACCTGAATATAGATTTTATACTAGTAGCTTGACCCCATAAAATTATGCCATATCTTAATACAGACTCCACATAAGCATAAACGATTTTAAGTGTCTTATTAGAAACACAGTCCCTTAAATGTATGAATAAAGATGATATCGACCTAATTTTGGTATGTAAATAATTGAAATATGAATCCCATTTAACTGTGTCATCTACATAAACTCCTAAAATTTATGAGCTTCGACTAAATTTAAGGAACAGTTTTCCATATTATTTATCTAGTAGAAAATTTAATATTTGTTTTTTCAACATTAAGTTTTAAGTTTTAATCCATTTTCTAAAAAACCATAGCTCCATATCCTTTACCACACCTTGCAGAGAAGAAAACATTTCAGTAGTACTATTATTTTTTATCAAAGCACTGGTGTCATCGGCAAAAATAATTAGATCTCTATTAATAGCTTTTGGAATGTAAATAAGAAAAAAGTGGGCCCAATAAAGTCAACGATAACTCAAATTTATGTATGTAAAATAAATTGATGTATGTATACACTTTAGATGGACTCACGTTCATTCAATCCTTCGTTAACTAAGGGTTTAACAAGCTAGTAGTTTGGAAAATAATTTTACCAACGACCAATTTTTAAACTGGCCTTTTCAATTCAATTTTAATTTTTCACTTTACCACATTTTTTACTTTACTTACAGCACCATTTAGCACCATGATGGTCGGTGTGGTAAAATAACCGACCAATCGGGTTCACAGATTGAGAGAAATAAGTAAAATTGTAATGCTTGAATGCAACTTATCAGTTGGTAACAACAAATTTGAATGTTGTACCTGAAACAGTACAGATGGGCCAAAACTTCTATGCACTTAGACGATTCGCTACTAGCCGCACTAAAACGTACAGGCACCGATTATTGGCAGTGCTGGGGGTAGGGGTGAGTGAGCAGCAAGACACGGAGGTTTTCACAAACCCCGCCAACCCTCTCGCCTAGACCCAACCAGTTCTGGTTGCGCACATAGAAATTTTAGCTGGTCTGTACTTATGATAAGAAGAATGCTGCTGGGGCCTAAGGGGGTGCGGTAGTTCCTTGGACAGCCAAGGCTACTTAGATCTAGGAGGATTAAGGAGAGGGCACACGAATAGGAATATACATGTTGCGGTGAAGCCAGCTTTAGCAGAACACTAGAGGGGCACGCGGAGCCGTAGAGTGGCAAAAAGCCGCAGCTTTAACATAAAAGTCGCAGAAAAACGCAACGCGCGCTTTTTTGAAATTAAAATTGCCACTAAACTAAAACACTTGTGTTATTAAGCGATGGCAATCTTAATGTGAATTAAGTTTTCTATCGAATGGTGTAAATCATTTCTATATAATCTATTATTTATTATTTACTATTGAAGATCAAAGTTGAAAGTAATGAAATGAAATGAAATATTACTTTATTATCACAAAAACATTTCACAGATCCAGCGTTAGCTGGTGAAACAGGTGATATTGGGTCCGCGGAATTGGCTAACTCTGGAACCCGCAAACCCCATGTTAAACGCCCTATCTTCAAATTTGGTCGATGAGAGGAACTCGCTAACTTGTTCGGTTTGGGAATTGGCTAACTCCGGAACCCGCTAACCCGCTCTAGAGCCGGGTTAGCGAATTCCGTCCTCGTACGGAAGTCGCTAACTCGGTCCCTCGGCGGAACTCGCTAACTCCCAATCAGAAGCCTCTCGCGGCGTCCAATGGGAGCCAAGCACGAAGATTGTTGGCCAGTGTTGCCGAAAGTGTAGTACCTATGATCGTATCGGTACCTATGATCGTATCGGTACCATAATATTGTATCCTACGAATAATTAGGAGTAAGAGCAATGTAGTCGATAAAATAAATATATATTCAGAAGTATGTTTAATATAATTCTTATGAATATTATTAGGTTGGAAAATGCATTATAGTCTTACCATAGAGACTAACCAACACAAGTAAACATTACATCCCATTGTACATTTTGAAACTCGTTTCTAGTTCATGTCTGGTGACACTGATCGCTAGTAGCCTATCGTCGAAATTGTGTTTCTATTCTATTATTTTATTGTTAATTTCATGATTTGTTCTCTACTGTTTGGTTTTATAGTTATATAACCAAACAGTTCCTAGTTAGGGGACGTGTTATTAGTTATGATTAGAACGTTTTATTTGGTTAAACGAGGTTTTAAATGACTGAAAACAAGAAACAAATTGTAAACAAAACACGACCTTTACAGACATTGCACCGGACAGAACTAACAATAAAATTGTCTTCAGCAGATCTATAAGGATGAGAAATGTACTAATATAAGGAAGTATGTTTTATCTATTGTCTTCTTACTGAAATAGTAGTTTATTGGGATAAAAAAAGATAGTACTGTACAGTTAATTTGGATCTTTTACAGGTTATGAAAACTTGTCCTCGATAGGTTATAATATTTGTTTCTTTAAAGGCCTATTATATATCTGTCGTGCGAGTGTTATAACAATAGTTTGGTTCTTCGTAATATTTCTGTATTATTACCAAAATAATTCCGAATCATAGTATTAGTAAACAAATAAAATAGTTTCAATATTTTTGTATAGCAGGCACATGATATTCCTAGGTATATTAATTAATAACGGAAATCTAAAACGTTAACACTCTATTACAATATTGCGTCTTTACTTTAGCCAAGAAAATTAATTTAAATGTTGTTACATTATGATGTTAGGAAACATATAATCTATTAACCAAAATTGAAGCAGTAATGTAATAAATAGTCTATCCTATTCGAGGGAACCAACAATTAGACATTGTAAAAAAGCTCCAGTAATTGCCGTAGACTTTAAGGACCTTACATTTTGAGGATTAACTTCCCGATAAAATTTACACGTTAAACGTCATTACAGAAATACATTTTAGTAGTGTTAAATATATTTTTAAATAGAGCTATTGAATTTAAATAAATATTAATCAGTACATGATAAAGTGGTAATGTATTGATCGATTGTATTAAAAATTAGTCTATGCATAATTACAATTTGTAAATTTCTATTATCGTAGGCTAAGGACCTTACATTTTGAGGATTAACTTCCCGATAAAATTTACACGTTAAACGTCATTACAGAAATACATTTTAGTAGTGTTAAATATATTTTTAAATAGAGCTATTGAATTTAAATAAATATTAATCAGTACATGATAAAGTGGTAATGTATTGATCGATTGTATTAAAAATTAGTCTATGCATAATTACAATTTGTAAATTTCTATTATCGTAGGCTATTAGTGTAGCTGGTCATCCTCTTAATTATATTAATATTAATTTTACGTCTTTCAGTACTTTTAAAAAGTCTGGAGTTTTTATGGTTCTAAATGGACCCAGGCGTTCTTGTTTGTTACCATTTTTATGAATGGTGGCCATAGCTAAAATTAGCTGATCTTATCCAACAACAAAGCTATTGTCTATTGAGTAGCTCAGTACCTGGGGAACGGGGAACCGAGCAATGGCTTGGTACTTGGTATAGTATATTTCGATTGTAAAAGTAATATAAAGGAAACTTAACACTAAAATCAGGAATATCCGTCAAGTCGTCAATTAAGAATCGTGAAATAAAATAAGCCTGTCACGTTTTAATATAAGAATATTATATATTCTCCTATTATTTACTAGTGGGGCTTAGGATTATCATCTAAAAACGGTTATTAAAACATGTAACATTATTACTCAATAATTCAACAAATTTTAGAAATAATTAGGCAACTAGCTTTTACTAGTAGGCCTACAATGCGTTGGTTAAAACTATTAGATCTAGATTTACAGCTATTCTATAAATTGTTATGAAACGTAGCCTATGAATATTTTTTCACGAAAGTTGGACGATTCAACGACGAACCTTTAATTTTAAATCTATGAATTAGTTATGAAAGTGGTTTTGGTTTATTACGACATTACGATAAAATTTTTTTCCGTGTTTGAGAACTTGCGTGTATTTTTTTAGCTTAATTTCATGGAGGTTTAATTGGTACTACTGGATAATCAATATTTTTTTCATATTCTATTTTTTCCTATAATACTGGCATTTATATTTAAGATCGAAATCATAAACATTTAATTGGACGTTGTACAGTTAAATGAAAAAAACACTATTTAATG